AGCAAAGGCTCTTAGTGTACTTGCCCAGTCTGATATTTCATACAAGAAAGGCCACTTTTAGCAATTAAAAACTGTAGAAAGGACTCAGAACAAAAGCCAGTGTTTTTTTATGTTTTGAATTTTGGATATGTTTTATGTTCATGGGTTTTAAAATATAATAGTTTTAAAAGACTTATTTAAAAAACAAAACTTCCTTGCCCCCACCCCCCCACTTTCCCCCCCAAACGAAACCACATTTGAATCTTTTGAATCTTTGAGTTCTTTTGGTAATTCACTTTGTTCTTCTAAGTGATAAGCTTACTTATAGATTTAATTGTAGACACTTCTAATGATAGTTCTTTAAAGTGCATACATTTGACTTATAAGAGCTCATTATATGCTCATATTTTCCTCACTTTCTCAGGCCAATCCTATCCACAGGCCAGCATTTGGGAATCCTAAGATCAGATGGTACAGAGTCCCATCCACATTCCTGGCTTGTCCCCTGCCCCTGCCCACACTTAGTGCTTCTCAGTACCCAGAGCACAGAGCCGTATTAGTTCTGGGCGGGAGCCCGCCTCTCCCTGTGTGCTCCACATGGTCACTCTGGCAGAGAGCTCTTCTTTAAGCTGGCCTCTTCTACATCCAGTACCCACCCACTCTCAGACAGCGCTAACCTGTCTAAATATTTCTTGGATTCACAGCAACCTGACAACTTGCCTGCCTTCTTACAATCCACATCCCTCAACCTAAGCCAGACTGAACTACCAAGCTCCCCCTAAATCCTTCAGGGGCTCCCAGCACCTATAAGATCTAAGGTTTGGCAAGGCAAATAGGACTGATCTCTCTTGGTCTTCCTCTCTGGTGGCTCCTCTCCCCATCCCCACTGAGGACTTGTGTCCCTGTTGCAAATAGTTCTTATGGTGCTGTTTCTTGCCCCTGTGCCTTTGTCGCAGCTGGTCCCTCTGAAGAAGATGTCCTAGCCCTTCTCACCTTGCCCTGAGGCATCCCTAATGCCTCAGTTTAGGAGCTGTCTTCCTCAGGAAGACCTCCCTTCTCCAGCCTTTCCTCACTCCTTGTCCCCTTCCTAGCCATCCTGAGTGGGGCCCCTTCCTGCTTCTCCCTGGGCATGTCTACATCAGTGGGCTTGCCCTGGTGTTGTATTTATCTCATTTATGTGTCTGTTTCCCCTGTATTAGGCTAGGAATTTAAGGGCCAGGATTGTGATTTAACTGCCTTTATATGTTCACCATCCAGCATGGTTCCTGGCACATAATAGGTGCTCAACAAATATTTGAAAGAGTAGATTGGTAGTCATGTGACGCGTAGCTCACATTTTGCTGGTACCATAGTTATTTGTGTGTGAGAGCACCTCTGAGTATATTATAAGATGTTTGAAGTCAAAGACCATTTCTCACTTATCCGAATCCTCCCAACAGCACCCAGCGCTCATAGTGAGCACTCAATGCCTATGTTCATGCTGAATGAGTGAAGCAACAGGTGGACCAGAGCCTTGGCCTAATCCCGACAGCATTGGCAGAAACAGCAGAGCCAGCTGGCCTTGCCTGGCCCTACTTTCCTTAGGCCTTCTCACCCTGGAGTAGCCAGGGCCCAGCTGCAGAGGGGTGACCCTCACCCCCCATATTCCTCTGACCCATTCAGAAACAGAAAGGAACTGTGGTGAGGGACGTGGCCCCTCTTCTGCCGGCTGAGGACAGAATGGGGACTGGATGAAGAAAGGGGGCAGAATTAGGGCACACACCATCCTTCTTGTTTCTTGTGTTTATGGTAAAGAAGAGTATGTAACATGCATATACAATGTAAAGAACAATAATAAAACAAATCCCTATGTACCCAGCACCCAGGTCAATGAAGAGAAAATTCCAAGTGTCTTAGAGGCCCGTGTGCCCCTCCCTGACACAGTTTCCCCAAAGGAACCACCATCCTGAATTTAGTGACAAGCCTCTCCTCACTTTATGTTTTCCTACCTCTGTGTATATCCCTAAACAATATTGCTTAGATGGCCTCCTTTTAAACTTTCTACAACTGGACTCATACTAAATATATTCCTCTGTATCTTGCTTCCTGGGCTCATCGTATAGTTCTTAAAGATTTCTTCATGATAATAAGTAGAGCTGTAATTTGGTCAATTTTTTTTCTTCTATAGTATTCGATTGTATGAAAATACTACAATTTAATATCCATTCCAGTGTTGATGGACATTTGGGTTGTTATCAGTTGAAGGCTTCTCTGAAACATTCTGTATGTGTTTTCTGGTTTATGTGTACAACAGTTTCTCTAGGTACATTGCCAGGAATGGAAGTTCTGTGTTGTAGAGCATATACCTGATCAACTTTACTAGGTAATTCCAAACTGTTTTCCAAAGTAGTTGTGCACCTATATTTTTAAGAATAATGCCGCCAGAGGTGACTCCGGGGCAGAAGGGCATGCCAGCCCCAGGGCCAACTCCATGAGCTTGTTTTCAGCAAGGGAAAGAAGTCAGATGGCAAAAGAGT